CATAAATGCTAAAAAGCTGAAACACACTTTGACTACCTATTTCAACACTTCTGTTGGTTAAAAACACCATGAACTAAGAAGTTAAATGGCAAACTAAGAAAACATACCTGCAGTATATGAACAAACTGTGCCTGTCTTTTATGTATAAAGAGCCTATTCAAAAATCAATATTAAAAAATTAATATTCTCATAGGAAAAAAGACAAATGGGGAATATAAATGACTGATTTTTTTTTTTTAATCCTCACCCAAGGATATTTTTCCATTGATTTATTTTTTTTTAGATAGAGTGTAAGGGAGGGAGGGAGAGAGAGAGGAAAAAAAAAATCAGTGTGAGAGAGACACATTGATTGGTTGCCTCCTGCATAACCCTGATCGGGACCAAGGTTCAAACCTGCAACCCAGGTATGTTCGCTTGACCAAGAATCGAACCAGCAACTCTTTGGTCCATGGGCCTTTGCTCACTGGTGAGCCAAATCGGCCAGGGATAAATGATTTATTTTCTAAATTGTAGAAAAATGTTCAAAGTCATTAGTAATTAAAGAAATTATGTTTTTTTCAATATTTTCTTATAATGGAAAAATTTATTATTTATTTATTTTTTTATCCTCATCCGAGGACATTTTCCCACTTTTTGTTCAGATAGAGTAGGAGGGAGAGAGAGAGAGAGAGAGAGAGAAACATCGATGTGAAAGGGACACATAAAACCCCTACACTTGGTAGAATAGTTATGCAAAATACATAGATGAATACTGTCTTCCTTTAAAAATATAAAATAAATAAGCAAGACGTGAAAATATGCAAGTTTCCATTAAATAAATGAAATTTTTTAAAAAAGAAAGTTTGCTTTCCATACCATTTGAAAAAGGAAAATTATCATTTAAACAATAGTCAAGTTTATTAAACAGATTTTAAAAGTAATATAAAACATTCAGCTTTCATCAGCTACAAGGTTTATGTTGCTCCCAAATTTTGCATATAACTGAACCTTCAAATCTGCTAACACCCGCTGAATTGATTCCACCCTGGAATCTAAGGGGTCAGTTTCTTCTTGCAAACCTTTCTTTGCTCCTTCTAACATTTCTTGTGTTTCCTCTTGAGAACGGCTAATGAAAACATCTCCAATTTGATAAAGTGTCATTAAACAGTCGTGCCCAGCCGGTGTGGCTCAGTGGTTGAGCATCGACCCATGACCCATGCACCAAGAGATCGCTGGTTCAATTCCCGGTCAGAGCACATGCCCACGTTGTGGGCCCGATCCCCAGTGGGGGGCATGCAGGAGGCGGCCAGTCGATTTTTCTGTCTCATTGATGTTTCTAACTCTCCCTCTCCCTTCCTCTCTCTCTAAAACCAATAAAGAAACAAACAAGCCCTGGCCAGTTTGGCTCAGCGGTTAGAGCATCGGCCTGCGGTCCGGAGAGACCCGGGTTCGGTTCCCGCTAAGGGCACGTACTTCGGTTGCAGTTTGTCCCCGGCCCTGGTTGGTCGTGCGGGTGGCAGCCACTCGATGTGTCCCTTCACATCGATGTTTCTCTCTCTCTCTCCCTTCCTCTCTCTCCCTCCCACTCTATCTGTACAAAAAAAAAAAAAAAATGGAAAAATATCCTCAGGTGAGGATTAAAAAAAAAAAAAAAAAGAAACAAACAAAAAAAGCAGTCATCATCTGCAAGCATGACGTCCTCGCAAGGATCTTCTAAATTTTGGAGTTCTTTTTTACGTCTATTTCTTCCTTCAGCTCTGTGATTCTACTGGTATTCCGTGCAAATTTGTTTCTCTTCTGTTGGTCTTCAAAGGTAACATTGATGCCTTCTGCAGCCGCCTTCTTCATGGTGGCCGCCATCTTGGGATTGGCCCATCCAGATTCTTTTTGAAGCAAATATCAGTCGCTAATTCATTTCACTCATATACTCAAAGAAATGGATTTTACAACAGTATTTGGTGAAGTGGCAAATATTAAAAGTAATGATAATGCACAGTGTTGGAGTGGCCGCAGTGAAACAGACTCCACTGTGCTGCCGTGGGAGTATCGATTGGTGTAAGTGTTCTAGAAGGCAGTTTGGCACAGTATGACAGAAACTTAAAATGCATACTCCTTTTGTCTGTGGTTCTACTTTCAGGACTTTACCTTAAGGGATTAATAGCTATGTACGCCATGGCTGTTTTGGCTCAGCGGTTAGAGCATCGGCCTGCGGTCCAGAGAGACCCGGGTTCGCTTCCCGCTAAGGGCACGTACCTCGGTTGCAGTTTGTCCCCGGCCCTGGTTGGTCTTGCGGTGGCAGCCACTCGATGTGTCCCTTCACGTCGATGCTTCTCTCTCTCTCTCTTTCTCTCTCTCCCTCCCATTCTATCTGAACAACAACAACAAAAGAATGTCCTCTGGTGAGGATAAAAAAATAAAATGAAAAATAGCTATGTGCACATACGTTTATCTTCAAGGATGTTCAATGGAATGTTCATGATAAAAATTAAAAAGGACCTGAGGTCCAACATGAGAGAAATGCATAGATTGTGGACCGTCCAGATAAAGAAATACCAGATAGTCATTATGAAGTGTGTTAAAGATGAATGCTAAGTTAGAAAACATCTGTATTATATGAAGTAAAAAAGAAAAAGTTTATGAAACAATATGTAGCATATGATCCCAATTTTGTTATAAAGTTATAGGTACTTATAGGAAAAAGATGAAAGGGAAATATATTGAAATGGCAACATGGCTTTTATCAGGGTGATTTTTATGTTATTCTTTATGTATACTTTGTTTCAAGTGTTTTACAATGGATATGCATTGCTTTCTAATCAAGAAAAAGAATCATAATTTAAATTATAAGATGTTGGTTTTGGTGGGAAAGCTGTGTAGTATGGTTTGCCCTGAGGATCTATACTCCCCTAGGAATGGCCCTGCTGACCAAAATAACATGTTGGGGAGGAGAATTTTCTTGGTGTTGCTAAGAATGTTCTAGGCAGGCAGCAAGAAAGGCAGCTGGAAGGCTCTTGCCCTTGTCAAGACCTGAAGTTGGGGGTTTCATCCAGGGGCAGATGGAAAGTCAGCTCTTCTCCCAGCTTCCTGTTCCTCCCTGTCCTAGTTCTGGGGCGAAGACTCCAGATCAGATCAGTGTTGCATGTTGGCTCCAACTCCCTGTTCAGTTGGCCTCTAGCCTGGGTCAGGGTCAGGGCAAGCTTGAGCTTAAGGAAAAAGGAAAAGGGCTAGTTAGCAAGCTGTCTGCTTCTGTGGAGTATCCCCCAGCCCTGTTGAAAAGTTCAAGACACTCTTTGTGCCCAAAGGTGACTACACCAGCAAAAGTATTTCCCTGGCTTGACTGGCATCAAGTGGCATTTGCTACCCCGAGCTTGTGCCCTCCATCTACTCTTCTGGTAGGGTTCTAAGCCCTCTTTGATTCTTTTCTTCCTTCACCTGTCCTGGCTGGGGGCCATTCCAGGCCGGAACAGTTCCCCCTTCTGTACTGGCAGAACTAGTCTTGGATTCTCCCTGGGGCTGATATGGCCCCAGAGATGCCTCCCCTACAAGGCTGCCTTGCTGGAGTAGCCAGCATGGAGAAGCCCAAATATGTGAGCGCAGGAACCGAGGCATGTCCAGTGAATCACAGCATACCTGGGAGGCAGGTATACAAAGAGTAAGACTGGGTGCCTTTAGTGCTCACGTGGGTATGCCTAGGCACACATGAGCACATCACATTTCCTTTGTCTCCTGTTGGGAAATTTCCATGTGTTCCTTGTTCTCTTCTGACCCTCTCTGGGAAGCCTGAGTGGACAGAGGATCCGCTCTTCGTGGGGGCTGGAAGAAGAGCTCTTAGTGTGCTGGGAATTCTTTGGGGAGCCTGGATGGCCTCCCTGGCCTCATATCTTACACTATGGATTTATTCATGTTTCTTTTTAATTCTGGGATCCAAAAAAAAAAATCTTAAATTCCTTATTCATGTTTAACAGTGATATTGAGACATAATTCACATACCATGTATTTCACCTAAAACATACAATTTACTGGTTTTTCTTGTATTCAAGAATTGTGCAGTCATCACCATAATCAATTATGTCACCCCAAATAGAAACCCTGTACCTATTAGCATTCCCTTCTGTTTACTCCCAGCTTCCTCTACCCCAGCCCTAGGCAACCACTAATCTATTCTCTGTCTTTATGGATTTTCCTATCCTGGACATTTTATAGAAAAGGAATCATACAATATGTGTTTTTTTGTGACTGATTTCTCACACCTCATATGTTCTCTGTGTTGTACTATGTGTCAGTACTTCATTTCTTTTTATGCCTAGATAATCTTCCATGGTGTGGGTATACCACATTTTGTTTACCCATACATCCATTGATGGACACTGAGATCATTTTCACTTTTAGGATATTATGAATAAGGCTGCTATAAACATTCATGTGCAAGTTTCTGTGTGGACATTGTTTTCCTTTCTCTTGGGTATATACTTAGCAGTGGAATGACTAGATCATATAATAACTCTGTGTTTAACTGTTTAAGGAACGCTAGACTATTTTCCAATGTGGCTGCACCATTCTGCATTTCCATGGGTAGTGTGACGGTTCTGACTCCTCTTTATCTTCAGAACGTTTATTATCATCTGATTTCTTTTTATTATAGCTATTGCAGAGGGTGTGAATTCGTATAGTATCTCATTGTGGTTTGGATTTGCATTTCCCTATGATTAATGATATTGAATATATTTTCATGACCTTATTGTCCATCTGTATATTTTTTTGGAGAAACGTCTATTTAAATCTTTTGCCCTTGTAAAAATAGATTATTAATCTTTTAATTATTGAGTTGTAGTTCTTTATATATTCTAGATACAAGTCCCTTATCAGATATGTGATATATAAAAATCTTCTGTGCATTGTCATTTCACCTTCTTGGTGGTGTCCTTTGAAGCACAAAAGTTTTCAATTTAATTAATTAATTTATTTTTACCAACATCATTATTTATTTATTTTCAGAAATGCTATTGTTCTTAGAATAGTCTGTCCTAAAAACGAGATCCATATTAACTTTTTTCATTAGAAATTTAGGTTTGGGATAGGATCATCATAGATACGAAGGACAAAAGTTTGTGTGTTTTTTAAACCCTCACTCAAGGATATTTTTCCATTTATCTTCAGATAGAGTGGGAGGGGGAGAGAGAGAGAGAGAAACATGAACATGAGAGGGACACATTGATTGGTTGCCTCCCGCACGACCCCAACTAGGGCTGGGGACGAACCACAACTGGGGTACATGCCCTTGGCCGGAATCGAACCCGAGACTTTGGTCTGCAGGCCAACGCTCTAACTGCTGAGCCAAACTGGCCAGGGCTGAAGCACAAAAGTTTTTAATTTGGATGATGTTCCTTACTCATTTTCTTCCTGTTTTATTGAGATATAATTACATATAACATTGTATTAGTTGTAGATGTACAACATGATGATTTGATATATGCCTTACTCATTTTAATTGTGGGGAACAAAGGCAGAAATGATGAGGTGCAGGTGTGTAGCCAGTTCAAACTGCTTGTGTTCAGCAACAATGGATTAGCTTGCAGGCAGCGATCACGTGGTCCCTGTTTGCTAAAGCCCCAAAATGATTGCAGACACATGGGGGAGGGGAACATAGATTGGGTCCATATGAACAGTCTGAATTCAATGAAACAGGTTGGCATAGCCATCCAGAGAGGTATCCTCAGTGCAAGGGACATGGTGGGTGCAGGTGGAAACCTTCACATGGGTTTGAGCTCTCCTGAGCTGTGACTGGCCGTTGAGGGATGTACTTGCCTTACGTCTGAATGTGTGACTGTATTATCCTACTTTCCGATGGCTGGGTTTGTGTGGAATCACCAAGGGTTTTAGCTTCGAAGTTATGTTGAATGAGCCCAGAATGAACTTACATGAGATGCAAATAAGTGGCCTGGCTGGGAGGAAAGACCGAGCCTTTTTTGCCATTGGCCTTCTCAGGTGTTGATCTCTGGGGCAAAACCATGGAAAGGGAAAGTCCTCCTTGCAGTTAGAAACTCAGAAGCTGAAATCCCAGGCCGGCACCCTTGTCCGCCATGAGGGAACTGAATTCTGATCGACACCTTTCAGAAGTCTACTCTCTCAGAACTGGAAGCAGCTCTTGCTGACATCTGGTCCTTCTGGGATGCAGATATTTTTATTTATACAAATGGCACTCTTGTCCCCAAATAGATTCTTATTTTTAACTGGCTTGCTCCCTTTGAGAGATGCCTGAGTCTCCCAGCTTTGCTCACTGGCATCTTGGTGTAATCCTGTAAAGACAGGAAGGCCCCTGGCTTGTGCTGGAGCAGAGAGGAGGGACACCTGTCAGCCGGGAAGTCCAACAGCTCTGTCCTTACATCTGGAGTCCGAATTCTGCATTATACTCCTCTCGTGCCCTACCAACCTCAGTCCAGGAGGGAAAAACTTCCCTTTAGTAGTAATTGACCCCTGGACTAATTGCCCAGGGGAGGAGCGTAGATAAGAAAGAGTACCTGATGAGCCTTGGTCCTCCGTCCTCTCCTTCATCCATCCTGTCCCTTCTCTCAGCTGAAGGCTCCCCTGGTTCTTGTCTTGCAGCTGCCTAACATGTTTGGTGACCTTCGGTCCACGTTTATTGCCTTGATGATTGGATCCTATGCCTCCTCAGCAGTCACCTTCCCAGGAATCAAGGTGAGGGAGTGGCCAGCGTTTCCAGCACGTGTATTTTGTACCAGTGTCTGAACAGAGGCTTCGCTCAAGGCTCCTTCAACCCTCTCTGAAGAGGGAAGTACTTGTAGGTGCTTGGGGCTGGCCCTTCCCCACCACCCACACCCAGGAGGATGCACCTGGGCACCACGGGAGTAAGAAAAGAAACCCACTGGGCCTGGGGGATGGAAGATTCAAGCACATCACTGCAGGTGTCACCGCAGGTGACCTTTGCATTTCTGGGCTAGGTACAGAAAGCGGGTGGGTGAGTTGTCCCCGATCCTGAGCCCAACTCCAGTCTCCCCACCCCCAAGTCTGTTGTTGTTGGGCTGTTACTTGCCATTAGCCAAAGCGCTGCTCTCGGCCAAGTTGGTTCAGCTGTTTCCCTCCCAGGCAGCATTCTGAGCCCATAGAAGTCACACAGGGACAGGATGAAGCAAACATCTCCCAGTCCATCAGCCCCAGTTCCTATTCCAAAGACTGTTGCTCCTACCAGGGCTTCAGAAGGGGCTTCTTCCTCCTCTGGCACCAGCACCAAGTGAAATCCCCTTTCCTGAGGAGTGTGGTGGCGGGGGCCCTGGGTGAGGAGAAGGAGTCACAGATGGGGGCTGGTGTTCTGGGAATCAAAGTGCCTGGAGAATGCAGGGCCAGGCCTCCTGGGAACTTTAGGGAGTCTCACACTCCCGGAGTGCGGAGAAGCCTGCATGTGCCTCCTCCCTCCTCAGTGCCGAGCTCCTGCTGGTCCCCTCCCTGGGGAGCCGGGCAGCTCCTGCCAGGACTACAGGGACTCTGGTACTGGAAATAAATTGCAATAGTGACGATTACATCTAACATGCTCATGCTCCGCAGGCTTCCCCCCACACTGAGCACTCTACTAGGATCCCACTTCCCTACCCCTCATCATAATCCCGTAAGGACACATGTCAGTCTTATACCCATTCCTCAGAAGGGAAGATGAGACAGCCCTCTGTTCATTCCTCAAGTATTTTTCACACCTGTTATGTGAGCTCTCAAAGGGCTGGAGAAACAACAGTGGACAAAGCTAACAGGTTCCTGTTCTCAGGGAGCTAAACAAACAATGGGCAAGTAAATGAATCAAGATGTCAATATTCTCAGCCAGGGCTATTCACTGTTAACCAGTGACATGACAGTGATGGGGTGGTCAGGGAAGCCTCTCCAGGAAAGTGACATCTGGTCCATAATGGAGGCACAGGGGTTGATGACATGCCAGGGTGAGTTGGGATAGTTGGGGTGCAGAGTGTCTGATGACCAAACACCCAGGCTGACCGGGCTGTGCCCGCTCATGCAGTGCCACACAGGGAGAACAGGGTTGCCAGACGGTCCCTGCCTGCTACCCACCCTGGCTTCCCCGTGCTCACTCTGCTCTCGGCCCTGCCCCTGCCCCATTGTGCCTTTCAGGTCATCTATGACTTTGGCGCCTCCTTCATCATCATCCTCGTGGTCTGGGCCGGCTGCTCCGGGCTGGTTTTCCTCAACTGCTTCTTTAACTGGCCACTGGAGCCCTTCCCAGGGCCAGAGGACATGGACTACTCGTAAGTGGATGTGCTGTCTGTCCCAGCCCCACCCCAGTTATGGCCCTGGTGGCACTGACAGACACTTCCTGTGGCCTCCAGGGTGAAGATCAAGTTCAGTTGGCTGGGCTTTGACCACAAGATCACAGGGAAGCAGTTCTACAAGCAGGTTACTACGGTGGGCCGCCGCCTCAGCGTGGGCAGCTCCATGAGGAACACCAAGGAGCAGGCGGCACTGCAGGAGGGCCACAAGCTCTGCCTGTCCACCATCGACCTGGAGGTGAAGTGCCAGCCAGATGCCGCAGGTACCCACCGTGAGGCCCTCACCTTCCAGGCCTGCCTGAGACGTTAGCAGGGGTGTCTGCACCCACGCTCACCCACACCAACACCCCCAAGGCAGGAAGGGACGGCCAATTCAGATCTGGAACCCGAGCCCAGGCTGAGGTGCCAGCACCGGCCGAGGACTCTATGGGTCTCACCTCACTTAGTTCTCACTTCATCCCAGAAGGGCAGGCAGCCCCATCCACCCTGGTGTACACATGAGCACACCAAGGCCCAGAGAGGGTAAAGGATTCACCCAGCTTGTTTTACACAGTTGGGTGTTCCAACCAGCACCCACACCTTTAACCTCACCCGGATCCATCCACTCATCCAGCATGGAATGATTTGGTCAGCAAATTGGCCCAGTCCGAGTACCTGAATGGCAGGTGGGCCGTGGGCCCCAGAGAGATGGGCCCCAGTTCTCCCTGAACACCTGTGCCTTCTCCCCACAGCAGCGCCCTCCTTCATGCACAGCATATTCAGCCCCATCCTGCTGCTCAGCCTCGTTACCATGTGCATCACGCAGCTGCGGCTCATCTTCTACATGGGCGCCATGAACAGCATCCTCAAGTTCCTGGTCAGTGGCGACCAGAACAAAGGTAGGTGGCCCCTGGGCCTCGGTGCACAGCTCCATAAAAGGGCCCCCTCCTGAGTGATGGTCGAGCCCACTGCCTGGCCAGCTGGACGATATCAGGATGGGCCGGGCCAGCAGGGCCGTGAAATGACGGAGTCCGAGGGACCCATCCTTGTCAGAGCTGTTTCATCACAGCCAGTCCCAACTGTTCTTTCACATCCCATTAGAGTTTCCCAGTGTAGGAGGGAAGGGAGGACTGAGATAACAATGTGTATCTGGGTTGTGAGGTGTATGCTTTTCATTGCCTGAGGGGGCTGGTTGAAGAGTTTGTGAATGAAAACATTGCCCGGAACAGAGTACTCTACCGAGAACCTGGTGAAAGGCAGCCAATCCAGCCCAATGCCAAGAATCCCTCTGGGAACCACAGCGTTGGGGTGTGGAGAGCCTGGGTGTCCCGAGGGCATAGGGGGGCGCCAGGCCGGCTGGGCTGGAGACTTTGAGGCAACAGGGCCCACACCGGGACCCGTGCCCCGAACTGGAAGCAGGGCCAGGCAGAGGCCTCCTCACATGTGTAATCCAGTCGAGACTTGTTCAGCCTGGTAAACAAAACTGATAACCCACACGCTACTTTCCCAAAACAGCACAGAAGGTCTTTAGCGGATTAGAGGTTTTGATTCTACAAAGAAAGTCAGTACTTCCTCAGGGCCTGAGCTGACTCAGCTTTAGTCATCCCGAAGCAGGACAAACACATTCGGTAAATGCTTTTCATTGGCAGCCTCACTGGTGTGCAACTTTTTGTTGGTTTAATTGTTTTTCCCTAGGGATTGTAAAGGATCAAATACAGTTTTTAAAGGGGATGAGAAATCCAGTCTTAACAAACAGGGAAGATGACAAAGGCACCCAGACACACTAGTTCCACTGGGGAAATGGGCGTCCGTGGAGAAGCACGGTCATGTGCCCTTGCAGGATTTCGTAATGGATGCTGACATTGGAAAGGCCTGTTCTTTTACAGGAAAAAATAACTTCTTCAGCTTTGTTGAGTCCAGTGACGTTCCCCTGAATTTCTACCACAGGAACGGTTTCATTCTGTGACACTTATTAAAACCTGTGGACTGAACTCTGGGGAAAGCTGACCTGTCATGTCTCAACACCTTCTATTAAAAACAGGCCCAGGGAGGTGGAGACCCCCAGAGTGTACAGAGAAGGGTCCTCACTGGCCCTTGGAAGGCAAATTTCCCTGCTGCTGAATTATGGCCTTTTACTCAAGTTCTCTGAGAAATCCTTTGCTGCCCAAGAAGATTTTTTTCCAACTGTTTCCCACATTCAAAAAGTCAATTTCAAGAAGTAGAGGATGTTGGGCCAGGAAATTCCACATGCAGCTGACAGGGCATTGGTTTTCTCCAGCTCGCTCCTGTAAGCTGTTGTACATGACACCCACAGCTCCGACTGTGCCCAGAGGGACGGCGTCAGGGTCAGGGAGCCGGTGAGGTGGACAGGAGACCAGCTCTGGCTGTCTGGGAGAGACCCATGGTGTCAGATGCTTTACCGGGGGTTGAGCTAGATTGACTTCTCTTGCCCTCGGAGTGCAACTGTGACAGAGCAGTGTTCCCAGAGGGCCACACGACAGTGAGTTCTGCCAGGTCTTATGCACCCACACTACCCCATCATGGCCCTCAGCAAGCCACAGGCCTGATTCACCAGCCCGCCTGTGACGGCACCAGCTGCACATGACTGAGGCCCCAGCAGACAGGAAAACGTCAGCAGGCACCGTGCGGGGGCCCCCGCCCACCTCCTCTCCTGGAAGCCTGGCTCTGGCTCAAGCTCAGCTGCCCATAGATGCTCTGAGATCAGATCTGGGTGGGAAATGATGTGCCCAGAGCTAGCTGGCCTGCCTCCGTGCCCCATCTCCCTATAACAACCTTCAAGATCTCTGCTGTTAACTTTGCTCCTTTCTGCTTTTTCACTTTGCTTTCTTGATGCAGTGATGGCCACTGGTAAGCAAGGGGGACTCTCAGGGAGCACTGCAATGTTGGGTAGTCAACTTTCAGTTTCCATTCGCCCCCACCCTCACCCCCAAATCCCATCTTAATTTTAAAGCTCTTTGAAGATGGAAGCCCTTGCGTGAGAGCCCCTGTGAGTGATGCCTTCCTGGTTTATTTCTAGAGGCAGAGAACGAATGGCCAGTCTTACACAAGCCTCCTTCCCAGGCATTGGTAATTTTGTGGTTCCCAAGTCATACTTTCTGAGCTTCTGGGGGAAGTCATTGTCACACACTGGATTTCATTAGCTGTTTCTTGGAAACAAGCAAGGGATTTGGAGAAGAGAACAGGGGGCCTACCCCTTGTTCCAGCTTTGATTTCAGAGGTTAACGTCTCTTGGCTCCCCTCAAGGTCCATAGTGACAAGAGAGGGTCTGGGGAAGACCCCAGAAGGAGGGCCTGTGGGGTCTCAGACTTTGGTACCTGTGCTCCAGGCCTCTGTCGGGAGCCCACGTGACACAGCCCATCTTCCTCCCCAGTTAGCCTCTACACCTCCATTTTTGGTGTGCTCCAGCTGCTCTGCCTGCTGACAGCCCCCATCATCGGCTACATCATGGACTGGAGGATGAAGGAATGTGAGGACGCCTCTGAGGAGCCCGAGGAAAAAGATGCCAATCAGTACGTAGGGAAGACCTGTGCCCAGCTCTCGGGCCCCAGAGCAAGAAGCCCCTGAGTCAGGTGTTAGACAGGGACAGGGTGGCGGGAGTTTAAAGTCAGCAGGAGAAAAGATAAATAAAGTCAGCAGGAGAGGAGAGAGGCGTGTGCCCGAGGCTGCTCTCCCAAGGGCTTGGAGACACTCAGTCACGCAGGTCAGCACACCTCAGGCCTGTTGCTTCTTTAGGGGAACCCTTCAGTAGGCTGAAGTGTGGGAAGCCCTGAGTTAGACGAAAGAAGAGGCGCAACGAGAGGAAGGTCTGTGTGCAGACACTGGATAGCAGACTTCTACTTTCAGGACCACACTCGGCTCCTCAGCACGAGAAGCACGGTGGGCGATCCTACGCCAGCGCCGCCTTGCCGACGGGCTCTCTGCCCGGTGAAGGGAGTCAGTCGCTGTGACCGTAATAGGTCTTAATGGATCTGTTCATGATCGTGAGCATTAAACAAGGCACTGGAGCCCTACTTTATGTAAGGGTTGGGCTCTAAGATCAGAGAATGAGTTAAACACTGTCTTCTGTGACTCCACCTTAGCATAATAAGCTACTGTTTATGGTATCAGGCCCTGTGCCAAGCACTTAATGCACAATATCTCAGTTACGCCTCACAACTCCTTGATGAGGTGTGGACTGGTGTGATACCCATTTTACAGATGGGGAACTGCAGCTAGGAGGTTGAGTAGCTTGCCTGAGGTCGCACAGTGAGCAAGCGGTGGGCCTGAGACTCCTTACACATCTCACAGCACTTGGCATTCGTTGTTGGATGTCATACAGTTGTGCATGGGGTGTCTGCAGGTGGTAAGACTAGACTCAGGACAGTGAATTCTCCAGTAAATAATCAGAGAGAAAAGAACGCTTTGTTATCTAGGTCAGGTCCTACAGCCAAGAGGTTAGTTGTGCCCATTCCGGTTCCATCTGCTGCATATTTGTTTCTATTTCACTCCTTCCTGCCCGCCCAAGGGGAAATCCACTCACTCCCTTATTTGGTTTGTTATCTGCCTTACCATCAGCTCCCTGCAGGATTTGGGTGATGTTGAAGCCAATGATGAAGTGAGGCTCTACCACGTCCTAACTCGGGCACACTCTGCTCCTTCCCTTCCCACCATCTGAACTCAGTCTTCACGAAAGCAGTGCGGTGTGTTGATGACCATCTTCTCGTATCTGACCTCTTCACTGAGGTTCACGCTCCGTGCTCAGTCAGGAGGATGCAGTGGGAGCGTCCCTAGTGTTAGTCTAGCTCCAGCAGTCCCTAAAACGTACTTGGGTGGTCTCTGAGTCTTGAGTTGTCACAAGCTGTGACTCCTGGGGCCTGACTTCCTGGGAGAGCTCACCCTCCTCCAGGGAGCCCCAGCCCCAGGGTGTGCTCTGTGTCTCTGCAGAGGTGAGAAGAAGAAGAAGCGGGACCGGCAGATCCAGAAGGTCACCAACGCCATGCGGGCTTTTGCCTTCACAAATGTGCTGCTTGTGGGCTTTGGGGTGACATGCCTCATTCCCAACCTACCTCTACAGGTGGGTGCGGGGACAGGGAGAGGGCAGGTGGGGTAAGGGGACAATGACACTAAAAGGTGCATGATGTGTCGTGAAAGCCATTAACAATGAGAATAGTGACTTTTCATTGATTTAATTCAACCAACCAACTTGCCAACCCCCTGTTATTTGTACCAAGAGCCTCTTACCTGGCAGACTTTGTGCTTGATGCTGGGAGCGAGCTGTAAATGACACTGGGATTGCCTTTCACAAAACTCTCTCCTTTATGAATGTGTATCATTCCTCTTGGTCTTTTGTGTATTTGCATGCCACAAATACCACCGTCATACCATGTTCCAGAACTGTGTTGGGTAGTTGTGTGGCTCCTTATTTTGCATTGCTCAAACAGCTGAAATTGGATATCCAGAGAGGTCTGGCTAATCTGGTGCTGATGGAAGCTTCTGTTTCTCAGATACAGGAGTACCTACAGGGTCTATACATCGTAGAGAGTGGAAACAGATTGGCATTTAGGTTCAGAAGCTTAATTTCGTTCCACAGATTTCTGATGCTTTTGAAACCTGACATTCGGCAGAGATTGTGAGTGAGGCAGCTTTTATTACAGTCTGCCTCCACCCTTAAGTCCATGAAAGTGGACTAGCGCCAACCCCCAACATTATGAACTTTGAAGGGGCTTGAGTAATGCCATTGCTCCCAGGTGGGTGTAGCCCAGGATCAGATGGTATCTTGGGCCAGATCCAGGAGGAAAGCAAGACTCTTCCTTTTTACAAGTGGCCACGTGTTGAGGTACATGGAATACCCAGGTGTGCACCACCCATGGGTGCCGTCGCGTGAATATGCCGACACTGCGTGCAGATCAGAATAAACCACTGGAAACTTGTACCAGTTCCAGGTGGGAGTGTTGTTACCTCCCTGGTGCCCTCCTGGCCTGCTGGTGGCTACCCTCTCTGCAGGACTGACAGACCCTTGCTCTGACCACCTTGTCCAGTCGAGGGGCAGTGCTTAGTGGGGACAGTCATCTACTTTTTTTTTTTAGTTCTCATTGAAAGAAAAGTTATAAAAAAGCAACGAGGCATTTGAAGTGGAAAGGGGGAGCCTGCCAAGTATGTGCCTGCACAGTTGGGCACAGCCCTCTTTCAACACTTCCAGAGTAGCCCCTGCCCCCTCCACTGGCCACATTCCTGGGACAGGTCCTGGCTGCTGAGGAGGGCAGGGCTTTGTATGAAGAACACACAAAGGGTCCTGGTGACAAACTGGACAACTCTCCTGCCTCTCAAATCATTAACAAGTGCTTCTCAGAACTTGCAAGCCTGTCAGCAGCACCCTTCTTCCAAGGTAGAGCTTTCCTAGGGATGCTGGGGCCGGGGTGGCCAGGCAGGTAGACCTCAGCGCAGTGCTCGGGTCAGCAGTAGCAGGAGATCAGTCATGATTAGTGATCTCCGACTTGGTGCTACTGATACATATTTAAGAACAGACCGTTGGTGGGGCTGTGGCAGGTGGAGGTGTGGGGAGCCCCGATTTTTAGCATATGCCAATTTCCAATGGTGTAACTGCTCTCATTTTGGCTGATTTCAGTCAATATGATGTCACCAACTGTGGGGTCAGGAAGAGAATCACAGTAATACACCATCATACAGTGTTTTCTTCCACCAAACAAAAACCTTAAGAACATAAATAATAGTAAAAAATAGTAAGATAATTAGGAAATGATAAGTTTTGAGTATTCATTACCTTTGTTTTTAATTTTTGTTTTTCCTTATTGATTTTAGAAAGAGGAAGGGAGAGGGAGAGAGAGAGATGGAAACATTGATGAGAAGGAACATCGATTGGCTGGCTACTACATGTCCCCACTGGGGATTTAGCTCACAACCTGGGCATGTGCCCTGACCGGGAATCGTACCAGGAACCGCTTGGTGCATGGGTTGACGCTCAACCACTGAGCCACACCAGCTGGGCATTATTAACTTTGTTTTTATTTATTTATTTTTAAGGAAAGGGGTTTTATTATTTTTTTCTTTATTGATTTTAGAGAGAGAGAGAGGGAGAGGGAAAGAGATAGAAACATCGATGAGAGAGAACATCGATTGCTGCCTCCTGCATGCCCCCCACTGGGGATTTGGCCCACAACCTGGGCATGTGCCCTGACTGGGGATCAAACCGGTGATCTCTTGGTGCATGGGTTGACACTCAACCACTGAGCCACACTAGCCGGGCTACCTTTGTTTTTAATATAATTTGTTTAATTGTAAATTAATAGCCCTGGCTAGTTTGGCTCAGCGATTAGAACGTCAACCCGTGGACCAATGAGTCTCGGGTTCGATTCCGGTCAAGGGCATGGACTTTGGTTTCGGTTTGGGTCCCGGCCCTGGTCGGGTTCGTGCGGGAAGCAACCAGTCGATGTGTCTCTCTCACATCAATGTTTCTCTCTCTCTCTCTCTCCCTTCCCCCCTCCCACTCTATCTGAAGATAAATGGAAAAATATCCTCAGGTGAGGATTTAAAATAATAATAATTATAAGTTTATAAAATGTAAGTTTTTATAATGACTGTGTTCAACAACTGGCTCGCAAAATTCCCGGACATTTGAAAATTGTGATACGGGCCAACTTGAGGTTGCCAGTGCTTTCATTGCCAGGACCCCAGGAACTGGGGAGGGGGACACGGTGAGGGCCCACACAGTCTCCTGCTCACTCTCTGTTCTCCCTCCCTTAGATCCTCTCCTTTATCCTGCACACAATTGTGCGGGGGTTCATCCACTCTGCCATTGGGGGCCTGTACGCTGCCGTGTAAGTCCTGGGGGCTGCGGGTGGCCTGGCGACCGAGGGTGAGGGAATGACTTAGGGAGGTTTGTGGTGGGACTAAGGTCCTGAGGGTCAGCCTGCCCTCTCAGGGTGCATTTTTTTGCATCAGAGACGGGTACCACGGTTTCTCTGGGTGTGTCAGGGGAAAGCCATGCCCAGCAGGAGGTGGGTCAGTGGGCTGACAGTTGGGTGCCCACGAGTCTTGGCATTTAACACGAAGTCAGTTCTCTCAGCCAGGGTCAGTGCCCCTGGCAGCTCATTATTACCTCAGGGCTCCACCGAGCTCTGGGCTGCCTCTGGTTGCTCATGGGAAGGGCAGGGCTGGGTTCTGGCTGCCCACAGCTCAAATGACCCTCAGCAGGAGCAGCGACGTGGATAACTAACTGAGCCCAGCATCTCTCAGGGCCTGCCTGTACCCCCAGCCTTCCAGGCCTTGGCTTCAGTGTAACCTGCCTCTTTCTCCAAGAGGCCACCCGAACATAAGGAACCACAGCATTCTTCCCCCTCGGGCCGGGGCCAGGCTCAGTAGTCAGAACCCAAAGACCAGATTGTTCCCTGCTGGGAGCCCCTTCCTACCTCTGGGGCCCCGAAGCCTGATGTTTTCTAAGATTTTGCCAGAACTCTCCCCCCCTCTCAACAGCATTGCATGAGGGTCATCCCAGGTCTGTGTGTCCCCCACCCAGCAGGCCTGGAGGAAGTTGTGGCTGCCCTGGCAGGGTCTGAGGGAGTCCGCTGAGGGCTCTGATGCCGCGTTTCCGTGATTACACAATACTCTGGGTGAGGGCACCGCAGAGCCGGCCCAGCCTCCATCCTGCTCCCTGGGCCTGCTTCCCAAGCTGTGGGCTCCTGCTGGCACCACACTTCCCACCCAGCTCAGCAGGCACCCCCGGGCCCAGGGCACGCCTGGGCAGGGGCGTCCTCCCCAGTCTCCCCAGGGGCCTTAGGTTGATCCAAAAGGGAAATTCACTTTTCACAACTGCTCAGCAGAGAGTCGTCTGAAGGCAGTCACCCTGCTGGTCTCTGAGGCTGCTCCTGCCTCTTCTCTGGCACCAGCGCACCTGGGGCCAGGCTGAGGCTGAGGAGCGTTTGGAAAGCCTGAGAGTGGACCTTCGGTGACAGGGGGTCTGTTTCCCTGCAGGTACCCCTCCACCCAGTTTGGCAGCCTCACAGGACTGCAGTCTCTGGTCAGTGCACTCTTTGCTCTTCTGCAGCAGCCCTTGTTTCTGGCCATGATGGGCCCCCTCCAAGGAGACCCTCTGTGGGTAAGAAAGGCCAGGGGGTGGTGGGTCACAGGCATTGGCCCTGCTGTGCTGGGTGGGAGCCGAGAGGCATTGCTCTGGGGCTTCTTGAGCTGCAAAGACAAAAAGTTTGGGAACTTTGATTAAGATCAAATCAGAGCCCTGGCTCAGCGATTAGAGCATCGGCCTGCGGACCAGAGAGTCCTGGGTTCGGTTCCCGCTAGGGGCATGTACCTCAGTTGCAGTTTGTCCCCGGCCCCAGTTGGGGTCATGTGGATGGCAACCACTCGATGTGTCTCTCTCACATCGATGTTTCTCTCTCTCTCTCTTCCTCCTTTTCTCCCTCCCGCTCTATTTGAAGATAAATGCAAAAATGTCCTCGGGTTAAAAAAATAATCAAATCAGAGTCCCCTTGTCAATGGTGGCTGGACAGGAGGAGAAAAGTACCCTTTCGGGACCTGATTTTAGGATAAATAGAATCTAGTTGCTGTCCCTGCCCCCCCCCCCCCTCGAGATTCAGATCAGTAGGTCTGAGTTGGCGGTGGTGGTGAGGTGGAGGGCAGGCTCTGAAGGCTGCGGGGTGGCCCGCAGACAACTGGGGAATTCTGGTGCTGGAATGTGGCCCTCTAGCCTCGAACATTCCAGTTTCAATTTTTCCTCTCCTGTCCTGTGACTTTCTCCCCTTTCTCAAACCTGAATATGAGGAAGGGTCTTGAATTGAACTCTGCAAAAGACCACAGCACCCCCACACCTGGTCCCCTGCCCCATGTGATGGCAACTCTCATCCCTGCCACCCCAGGTGAACGTGGGGCTGCTCGTCATGAGCATGCTGGGGTTCTGCCTCCCCCTCTACCTCATCTGCTACCGGCGCCAGCTGGAGAGGCAGCTGCAGCAGAAGAAGGAAGATGACAAGCTCTTCCTCAAGCTCAATGGCTCGTCTACCCAGGAGGCTTTCGTGTAGTGCCCACCACCTCAGGACCGTGGCCTCCTGCCCTTGCTTCAGTGACTCACCAGTGTCCTCTTCCCCACCCCGGAGGACCTCCACGCACCCCAGGAACCTCGCCTTCACCATGTTGGAGTCCATGCTCCCTCCCAGGTCTGGCCTTGGACCTCTGCTGTGGAAGGACAGGAGAGGGCCTGGACATGTGGTTTTCCTGCTGCTAGAAGCAGGGGCCACCCTGGGCTTGGCTGTGCTACCCAGGAGTGGCCCTGGAGCCTCGAGACTCCATGGTACCTGCAGGAGGAGCCAGGAGGACCCTGACAGTCAGGCTCTCTCCCTCAAGTATCTGGATTCTGCCTCCTGCCAAAGCAGAGGGATCTGCCATCCACTGCCTACCACCTGCCCCTCGGCCGCATGCCCACCGACCACGCCTGCCTGAGGACAAAGGCTTGCACTGTCTGCACCCCCTTGCCTGGCCCCTCATCTCCTCCCCGGTCCTCAGTGAGGCTGCCTGCGGAAGGAAGGACCCGCTTCCTGTTGTTGGTGCTAACGCCTTTGTAATTCCAGCCCCCTGCAGCCTGTCCTCCCATTAGAGGCCTGTGCAGAAGCCCCCTGGCTTAAGGTCTGGGGAGGAAATGGAGGGCTGGTGGCCACACTGGGCTCAGGAGCCAGAGACAAAGGACTTAAGTGGAAAACAGGTTTCCACTGCCACCCTTCATCCAGTCTGTGACCTCAAGGGAATTAAAGGGGCACCAACAGGGCACCTCCCCCCCCCCCCACACACACAGCTGTTTTTGTGGGGGTGGAAGTGCGGCTTTGGCTGATAGACACGGAGGTCCAGCCCAGTGGGTAGGTAGGTAAGCGAGGGCCTCGGGGTGTGTGTGTATGTAAGTGTATGGGTGATACGTGTGAGAGAGGTGTGTGGGGTGGTGGTAGGGTGTGGACACTGGGTATCTGCTCTCTTGTCCCAGAGCCGCCCAGGAGCCGGCCAGGCCTGCAGCAGGCTCAGCGCCCTAGAGCCAGCCTGGCTCCTCCTGGCGTTGGTGGGAGGCTGCGAAGCCACAGTGCTCCCTGCTGGCAGACTCCTCCCGGGCCCTGGGGCTGTTTACAAGGAAGAGGCCTCCCTTCCTCTGCCAGACGGGCCTGATTTACCATCCACCCACCGGGACTTGCCCCAGAAATGTGTCTGGGATTCCTGGGAGCACAGAGAGGGTGAGTGGTTTTTAGGTTTATAGTGTTTATTTTAAGTTTTATGGGACTTATTTTTATACAGCAATAAACCCATTTTCTCCTGTTAAGGGTTGCCCCGGTAGCATATCAGTTAAGGGCTACATGTGTCTGTTTTGAGCTTGAGGAGAAAAGGCAAGACACGATTTTCTGCCCCTGACCAGCCCCAGTCATACCCAGCCACTCACAGTCTCTCTGGATGATTGCCAGCTTGGGAGGGGAAGGGCCAGGAAAAGGCCCCCCAACACCCCCAAATTGGGCCTGTGCAAACATCTTCGAAGTGTGGGCCACCCCTTCCTCTACTGCTTCTCCCAGCCAAACAGGCTAATCCTGACCCCCTTTACTCTCCTGCTCAGGTCTCCTGTCACTGGTCAACTCTCCTGAGTGTTCCTCCCAAGTTCAAGACACGGGGTAATCCCAGGAGAGCCTCAGGCTCAAAGAGACAGAGGCAGACTGGTGGGGGGAGCGGACAGAGAACAGGAAGGGCAGAGCCACGTTCACATTCAAGCTCTGTGTCAACAGCTGAGCACCTTGAACACACCTAATCCTCCTAGGCCTCAGTCCACTCAAATAGTGAAAAACAAAAACATCGTTTATGACTTGGGGTGGTGAACACAATACAATATACAGATGATGTATTATAGAATTGTACACCTGAAACCTATATAATTTTATTAACCAATGTTACACCAATAAATTCAATTAAAAATATTTGTTTAAAACATATTTTAAGCCCTGGCTGGGTAGCTCAGATGGTTAGAGTGTCACCCCAATATGCCAAGATTGTGGGTTCTACCCCTGTCAGGGCACATACAAGAATCAACCAATGAATACATGGATGGGTGGAGCAATAAATCGATATTTCTCTCTCTCCCTCCCTCCCTTGCTGTCTCTAAAATCAGTAAATTAAAACAGTTTAAAACATATATATTTAAAAAAGAGAACAAGATAAACATGTCCTAGACTTTTCCTCAGAACACTAGTTATGTGAGGTTCAATGATTCTAATTTTTAAAAAAGTTTGCAGTCACATTTGGGAAACCCTGAGTTCAAGTCAGGCATGTTTCTTTGCCGTGAGCACTTGCAGCACCGTTTGGTGCTCGGGGACCTGGCTCTCCAGCAGGCAGAGCGGCGTTGCCGCGGGGGAGTGATTTCAACAGCCAAGAGCCGTCCTCCGTGGGGCCCAGGGGAGCCCCTTGGTGCTTGTTAAACATGTAGGCTCCAGGTCTTGCCTCTGACCTAGAAGGGATCGAGCTTTTGCTAAGCTCTGCCTGGTGATAAGGTGCCCCCCAAGGTTTGAGATCCACTGACAGAGGAGTACAGTTTGGGGAAATGTTGACCAGGGAGGATTAGCAAGGCCCTTCCAGCTGGGAAAACACAGGCAGTGGTTCTCAACCTTCCTAACGCCGCCACCCTTCAATCCAGTTCCTCATGTTGTGATGACCTCCAACCATACAATTGTTTTTGTTGCTACTTCATAACTGTAATTTTGCTACTGTTATATCTTAGGCGACCCCTGTGAAAGGGTCATTTGACCCCCAAAAGGATCGCGACCCACAGGTTGAGAACCGCTGCACTGAGGGTACAGACAAGGCCTGTGCTGTCCCCAGCAGCACCCAAAGTAGGATGTGCTGCCTCTGTCTCTCACCCCTGCAGAGTGCGGGCACTTCGTGGAGAGAAGCACGGACAGCCGAGTTCAGGGTGGAAGTCAGTGTAGGACCAACAGTGCGTGGGGATAGGTATGAAAATGGGAGCAGGGTACCAGATGGGCCAGCTACCACCTGGACCCACACGCCCTTATCAGGGACCAGTCATCCTGCTCTGACTATACAGAATCAACGGGTTATCATCACTGAATCATGCAAGAGTGAAATGCATACACATTATCATTTCTGTTTTACAGTTTAAAAAATTGAGGCCCTGGGAGCTGGAGTAACTCACTCAAGATCAGAACCAGGACTTACTTATGGGTCTTAACATCTTTGGAGCAACCAAAGAAAGCCCTCTAGACCAGGACATTCCTTCAGAGCAGTAGCCCCAGGGGCCACCAGGCTTTGGGAGCAGGGAGGCAACAGCTTGCGGAAGGGAAGCAAACCCAGGCAACACTTCTTTGGAGCCAAGTGATTCCTCAGAGAATGGGCTGACTTCTACTCAGAGTCGTCTTGGCCCTGGAAGCAGATGGGTTCTTGAGGGAGCAATTGTCTGGTCACCCCACCCCTTGAAAGGAGTGCCCTGGGATGGGAAAGGTACCGTGGGCTGATCAAAGGCAGCGCGCACCAGGTGGCCATGGCCCTGTGTCTCTCCCTTTGTCCTCAGGCTCCTGGTGGGAAGGAGCAGGAAGTGATGTCCAGCCAGCGACTTCCATCAGAGTGAGGAGGGGGGCTGGGCCAGTCTCAGAAGCATTGTCAGGGACCCCTTTCCTCTCTAGTCCCCCTAGACTCAGTTCAGGCTGTTCCTTTGTTGGCTTCCTCCAGGCCCCCCTGGCCTCTGCCTACAGCTCCCGCTGCCTGAACCTGTGCTAGGGAAGGTTCCAACCCTCCTCTAGACCACAGATAGGGTCGCAGGTACTTTTCCGTTTAATTCCATCTCCTTTCCCTTCTCGTACCCAGTATCAACCTGGTCCAAACAACCTCTGCTAAGCTCTCCTCACCCTGGGCCTGGGCTGTGCAGTCTGTGGAGGGCCTCACACTGCCCTGGGCCACAAGGACACTGAGAACGGGGGACATCCGGTGATCCGGGTACATGTGCAGGCTGTCTCAGACAGCAGCAGAAACACATTCAGCCCAGTGAAGTTGTCAGTGTCCTTGCATGTCAGCCCGTTAGCAGAGTTTGAGCAGATATGCAATGAGATGCAAGAAGGGTGGGTGATGGGGGTGGGGTCAGGCTGTGGGGACCCTATGGTGAGGGGCTCTGGCAGAGGGCTCCAAGAAGTCTTCTCAACAGCATGAGCTTCTGGGGCCGTTTCAAAAACAGCTCCCTCTAGAGGATAATATGATGTGTTTTCGCGGGCTCGGGGGACAGGGATGCACACTATCTGTTCCAATTACCAGGGGCCCAAATCAAGGGTGGTAGCCCATTTCCCTCAAATACAGATTTTGGGATTATGAAGGATGAGGAGCCCAGGACCCCCAAAGTGAGGGGGTTGGTTTTTCACAAGCTGCAGCCCTCCCCTGGGGTTGAGGTTCAGGGTGAGCAGGCGGGCTCTGTAAGCTCGTTTGTCCAGAACTTCCCGAATGTTATGAAGGAGAAGCATCTCCCATGGGGGTGACCTGCCAGCATGGAGCTACCACCTGTGTCCCTTGGTGTCTGCAGGCAGAATGTCCACGGCTCTGAAGTTAGTCACCCTCAGCCTCCTGGGTGGATCCAAGACTGCACCGGAGCCCCTGGCAGCTCCCAGCTCCCCACCTCCCTTCCCAGAGTGAGGATCCATCTCCCCGAGCCAAGGGGAAGAGCAGAGGTCGGAGGCCTTACCATACAGTGACCTTAGACTAGTCTTGAGCCTCAGTTTCCTTATCCTATGAAGTGGAGAAGCTTGGTGAACACAGACGTAAAGCATTTGCACAGTAGTATACCTGGCACATAACAGACACTAAACAAGGTACAGCGTTATTTGTATGACACTGGAAGGGTGCAGGTAGCACAGGAAAGGAGGGCCACCTCCACTCTACCCCCACTGGTATAACAGGACACCTACTTTAGGCAGCTCTGACCAGATCAGACTCGTGGCCAAGTATAGGAAGTGGGGTCTATTTCTGCTGACCCCACCCCTCTCAGAACTCCTCTTTAAGCAAAAAGCCTTAAAATGTTTTCCTCTGTTCACTTTTATGTCTTTCACATTTTGGTAAGAGATTTGGTCAAAAAGCTTCTCAAGATAATCTCTAAATGGTAAATATTCAGGCACTCTGACAGATTTACATTGTGGGGGTGGCTCAGATCACAGCACATAGGTAGCACCTCCATACCACCTCCTTGTAAAACTGGCTGTGCCTGCACATATGTGTGTGTGTGTGTGTGTGTGCGTGCGTGCACATGTGCATACATGTGTGTGTATACATACATGCACGTGTGCATGTGTTGAGGTATAGATGTATGAGATCACATGTCAGATGTGAATGTTTAGAGGAGTGTGTAGGGGCTTGTCTGTGTGCCACTCTACCTGGATGGAGAAGAGGGAGAGGGTTTTACTTTGCTGAGTCCTCTTCTGTTGCTGGAAAGACCTGGGCAGGCCCCAACCAAGGACCCAGCCCAGGTCCTCCGAGCTGTGCCAGAAGGGTTAATCTGTTCCCTGTGTTCACCAGGGTCAGTACAGTGTCACTGAAGACCTGGAAGCTGACCCTGCCTCCTCCTGCTCTTTGCTGTTTCTAGCACCTGGCTTACTTCCTAGCACAAGTAAAGCACTCAATAAATGTATGCTGAGAATGACAAGAATTGCTTCCTCCTTGGCTCCTGTGTCTTTTTCTCCCAAAGCCACACATTCCCTTGCCCCTTGTCTATTGCTCTGATTCCCTGTAATTTACCCGAAACATGCTCCATGGCCCCACCCCTCCCTGTGCTGCGTCCACCATGGCCCAGTTTTGCTGCTTTGGCCTCTGCACTGCCATTTGAAGAGGTGGGAGGGTAAGTAGTGGCCTCCTGCATGGGAAGACAGGGCTGCTGGTGAATGCTGGTTCTCGGGGAGAGAGTGCATCCCTGCCCCTTTCCTTTTGTCCTAAGGCAGTGGCCATTGGCGTGACTGCTCCTCCTACAGAATTCCCACCAAGCTGGCCCCCTTCCGCCAGGGCCCTGGTCAGTGTCAACAGGAGGGAGAGAGCAACTGGGGCTCCCCAGAGAAGCCCCAGTGAGAGCCCCACCGCCAGGGAGGGGAGGGGGCAGCCTGATTGTCTGAGGCCTGGCCCCTGACCCTGCTGGGGTGGTGGGGGCTTAAGGTCCAGGGGAGGGATGTGGATGGCCTTGGGGGCCAGCTGGGGGAGGGATGAGCAGTGGCCCCCTGCACGGTAGCCAGGACAGAGAGATGTTGGATAGATGTCCTACTTGTTAGGATGGCAAACTCAAAAGCTGGGGCTCTGCCACTTCCTTTGTTGTTACCTTTCATTTTCCTGTGTTTGATCAGACAGCACAAAGAAAAATTTCTCTAATATAAGTAGAGCCACAGCATGAGTTCTGTGCTGCTACAGGGACAGCTAGACCTTGGCCTCTGTGCCAGGGACACATGAGGAACTGATGGGGAATGTGGGGACCTGGGGGCCCGAAGGCCCGTCTCAGGGGACATCCTTGACACAGCTCCAACCAATCACAGCCATGTGGGAATGAGCCTAGTATTGCCAGATCTCCTGATTTTTTTTTCAAGAGAAGCTGGAAATCCTGACTTTTATGTAAAATATCCCCATTTTCAAATGTTGACTTAAAAAATGTTTTAAAATATCACGGCTGCTCAAATAGCCTTTAACTCTATGCTGACCAAACACCACCAGAGGTCGAGAGAGAAGCAGAGGCCAAGTGCCTCCTCGCCTCTTCTGGGCCCAGGGCACCCGCTGTCTATTTCCTTCATTCCAGCACATGTTATATTTGTCTTGCATTAGATTATGATCCTATAGGCTGGAACCTTTTTCTTTTTCTTTTTTTTTTTTTTTCATCCTCACCCGAGGACAT